GGGACAGCACCAGCCCACCTTACCACGCTGCCGAAGCTCCCATGGCACCCTACCATCGTACCTGTTCTTCCCACACCATCGCTAAAATAGCCTTCCACGTAACCAAACCCCAGCACCAACATTTTAGGAGAGCTGAGGTTAACAGAACCGAGTGTTTTCGTGCAGCACAGAAAACAGCAGCTCTACCAGAAGCCGATCAGAGAGACCTGGAAGAGGGGCGAGAAGCGCCGTGTCTGAAGGCTACAGGGCTTGGGAGGGACGGGATCGAACCCACTGAACAGGGGGAAATGCTTTCGGAGCTCCTCTCCCTGCACTGTCAACGACCGAGTCATGGGCGAGACCTCAACCCCTTGCGAATGCAGGTTCAAGACAAGAGCGGCTTTCACCAATTCCCCCTCTTCAGCGACATCTGCAGTATAGCAGGTTTTAAGCCACCCTGAAATATCCCCCTGCATCCCATCAGGTTATTTTTTGCCTCGCTTTCAGTTAGGAAATTGAGGAGGGATATCATTTGCCAGTCGGCAGCAGAGTCGAAACGCAAGAGGTCAGCTGCTCCTCCCACCCCAGGCAGCGGTTTTTGAGGGAGCGTCCCGATATAAGGCCAAAATCCGCCTCAGCCCTCCTCGACCCACACCCTCCTCAGCTCCTCCTGGCTGAGGTTTTGTTTTAAAGAAATTTGGGGCCACTAATGGAGAAGACACCTCGAGGCAGGACGGACAAACGCTGAAGCAGGCACTCGAGCGCAGCCAGAGCCTCACCTCGGGGACGTAGTTGTCCCTCCTCTCCCTCTCCTCCTCCTGCAGTTTGATGGAGATGCCTCGGACGGGTCCCCTCTGAATACGCTTCATCAGGTGGGTGACATACCTGCGGGGGACACAGGACCATCCAGGGCTTCCCCGCGTCTCCCTTCTCCACCCTCACGCTCCCAAGATCGCACCAGGCTGAGGAGACGGAGCCCCCGCTGGAAACCCCGGCGCTGTCCCGCCACCCACCCGGGCATTGTCCCGCCACACACCCCGGCGACGTCACGCCACCTC